TACTCGTTTCGTAATACATCATCTCACAACTAACTCATTAGTTGCAATGCTTACAAGGCTTATGTAATGTGCATTACCAAGAGGGCCTAGAGATACCTCTCCAACAATTGGAGTGACAAATCCTAATCTCGGAATACGCCAACCCAACATTTACCTTTGGAGACACCTGTAGAGCTCCTTTATAATCACCCAGTTACATTGTGACGTTTGGTAGCACACAAAGTGTTCCTCCGGCAAACGGGAGTTGCATAATCTCATAGTCATAGGAACATGTATAAGTCATGAAGAAAGCAATAGCAACATACTAAACGATCGGGTGCTAAGCTAATGGAATGGGTCATGTCAATCACATCATTCTCCTAATGATGTGATCCCGTTAATCAAATGACAACACATGTCTATGGTTAGGAAACATAACCATCTTTAATTAACGAGCTAGTCAAGTAGAGGCATACTAGTGACGTTTAGTTTGTCTATGTATTCACACAAGTATTATGTTTCCGGATAATACAATTCTAGCATGAATAATAAACATTTATCATGATATAAGGAAATAAAATAATAACATTATTATTGTCTCTAGGGCATATTTCCTTCAATCTTTACTCGTTCTGTAATGCTACATCCTGTAAGTAACTCATTAGCTACATTGCTTGCAAGGCTTATTGTGATGTACATTATCGAGAGGGCCCAAAGATACCCCTCCAACAATCGGAGTGACAAATCCTAATCTTGATCCATGCCAACTCAACAAACACCATCGGAGACACCTGTAGAGCACCTTTATAATCACCTAGTTACATTCTGACGTTTGGTAGCACACAAAGTGTTCCTCCGGTATTCGAGAGTTGCATGATCTCATAGTCATAGGAACATGTATAGTTATGGAGAAAGCAATAGCAACAAACTAAACAATCATCGTGCTAAGCTAACGGATGGGTCAAGTCAATCACATCATTCTCTAATGATGTGATCCCGTTAATCAAATGACAACTCATGTCTATGGTTAGGAAACATAACCATCATTGATTCAATGAGCTAGTTAAGTAGAAGCAAACTAGTGACACTCTGTTTGTCTATGTATTCACACATGTACCAAGTTTCTGGTTAATACAATTCTAGCATGAATAATAAACATTTATCATGATATAAGGAAATATGAATAACAACTTTATTATTGCCTCTAGGGCATATTTCCTTCAACTGCCTCCACCGCCTCGCCGCTCTTGGCGCATCGGGGTGAGGAAGGAGAAGGAGAAGAAGAATGATGAGTAAACTATGTCAGGTATGTCAGATCTCCAAAATGATTTTTATATACTTAGCTTTGTTTCCTCCAAAATGATATAAGTTAGCCCTAATATGCTAAGTTATCTCTAATATGCTTAGTTTCCTAGGTTTGCTCAATAATGACATACACTTGGCTTGCTTGTGTAAAAAATGGCATTATTATGCTTAGTTAACTCAAAAATGGCATAATTAGTTAAGTTAGCTCCAAAATGACCCATTTAACCTAGGTTAGCTCCAATATGATCCATTTTACCTAGGTTAGCTTCAAAATGACCAAGTTTACCTAGGTTATCTCCAATATGATCCATGTTAGCTAGGTTAGCTCCAAAATGACCAAGTTTACCTAGGTTAGCTCCAAAATGACCAAGTTTACCTAGGTTAGCTCCAATATGATCCATTTTAGCTAGGTTAGCTCCAAAATTACTTATGTTAGCATAAAAATGACCTATACTTACCTTATTTTCCTCCAAAATGACATAATAAGCTTAGTTAGCTAAAAATTGGCATAATTACCTATGTAAGCTCTAAAATGACACAAATAAGGATAAGAAGAAGAAAAACAAGGAAGAGGAGAAAAAGAAAGAATAGAAGAAGAAAGAGAAGAAAAAGAAAGAATAAAAGAAGAAGAATGAGAAGGAAAAGGGTAAAAACCTTCTTCTTCTTCTTCTTCTTCTACTCTTCTTCTTCTTCTTCTTCAGGTCTTCTTCTTCTTCTTCTTATTCTTCTTCTTCTAGTCTTCTTCTTCTTCTTCTTCTTCTTCTTCTTCTTCTCCAAAATGACCTAAGTTAGCTCTAAGTTAGCTCTAATATGCTTAGTTACCTAGGTTAGCTCAATAAAGACCTATACTTAGCTGTTTTATATCAAAAATGGCATAATATGCTTAGTTCACTCAAAAATGGCATAATTAGCTAGGTTAGCTCCATTTTACCTAAGTATGCTTACTTCTTATTCCAGTCTTCTTCTTCTTCTTCATTCTCTTCTTCTTCTAACTTTCTTGTTTCCCATTTTGCAGATTTTATCTAATTCACGAAAGCTTGCATGGATGGAGTGCTTCTTTTCCCTTTCTGCTTTTATTTTGTATCGATGAACTTGCATGGATGGAACTTGTTATATGGATGGATGGATAACGGTGTTGGATGAACAATGTGAAACTTTTGTAATATGTATGGATAGAACTATGTGTTGGTTATGTATGTATATATGATGAAACTTGTGTGTTGGATATATCTTTTGTGAAATTTGTGTGTTGAAAATGTGTGTGTTCAAATTGAATGAATTTAAGAAAAAAACCAGGGGCTATACAGGATCTTTGTCGTCCGCTGGCCAACGGTAAAGAAATTTGCCGTTCGCCAGCAGACGGCAAAGATGCCATGTGGTAGTTGCCTGTACAATCTGGGGGCTGGCCTATTTGGTTACTTTGTCGTCCGCTAGCTGACGGCAAATGTGCAATGGTCTTTGTCGTCCGCCAACGGACGGCAAAGCGCACCGTTAGCCCCCTAACAGCCAGAAGCTGCCATGTGTGCCGTCCAGGACCTTTGCTGTCCGCTGGCGGACGGCACAGAAGCCTTCGTCGTAGCCCATTCAGCCGGACATGTTGCCGTCAGCCGACGGACGGCAAAGACCTTTGCCGTCCGCCGTGTATGCCTTTGCCGTCCGCCATGGCGAACGGCAAAGTGCCTGATTCCTGTAGTGCTAGATGCATGCTAGATAGCAGTCGATGTGTGGAGTAATATTAGTAGATGCAGAATTGTTTCAGTCTATTAATTTTGGAAGTGATGCCTATATACATGATCATTGCCTTGGATATCATCTTGATTATTCGCTTTTCTATCAATTGTCCAACAATAATTTGTTTACCCACAATATGCTATTTTCTCGAGGGAAGCCTCTAGTGAAAACTACGGCCCCTGGTCTATTTTCCTATCATATAAAACAAAAAATACCTTCCTATGATTTTCCTTTCTTTATTTTTTTTGCTAGATCTATTTGTCAAATTCAATACAATTTAATCTATCTCAATACCGAGGAGGAATTGACAACCCCTCTTACGCATTGGGTTGCAAGTTTTTGTTGTTTGTGTGCAGATGATATTTACATAGTGTTGCTTGGTTCTCCTACTGGATTGATAACCTTGGTTTCATAACTAAGGAAAATACTTACCTTTGTTGTGTTGCATCATCCTCTCCTCTTCAGGGAATTACAAATGCAGATACAAGCATCATCCAGCCGCTTCGGTTCAGTACGTAGAGTTATGGCGGAGGATTCAATACACACCCTCTCGACCACCCCTAACATGCCCCGCTGGCGATGGCCTACTTCTGGGATGTACTCGACTACTTCCTTCTATGACGCTCTCTTCCTGGTTGCCATGTAGGCCCCGCAGACATGCCCCATCCGGAGCCGCCTTTCTTGGACTGGTGGCCGAGCTCTCCCGATCATGCTCTCCTGCCTTGCATAAGGGCCTATCCTCACTGTTTGGTGTCTCTGAAAGCATCGAAATGGATGCATTTTTGACAGGTTGACATACTTCGTCGCACACTTTGTCCGTATTGTCGAGTAGGAGACTAGGCTTTGGGATAGGGGTGGAGCCAAGGGGCTCAACCTGATGTTGCCCCGAGATGAAGACCTTTTGTCTTAGGGACGAACATCTCTTTTTCTTGTTGCGCTCATGTGCTTGCAATCACGCCAGCTTGTGCATACAGGGGTGCGAGTTGCATCTTGTAGTTGTTTCATCCTTCACCTATCAATGAAATGATACACAATCTTGCGTATGCGTGAAAAGAAAAAAAATGAAGAAATCGATCCCAACATAATTAAATTATCAGCGAGAGATATCAAAGTTGGGAAGGGATTGCAATGAAAAGTTGGGGCAAAAACTAGAAACATTCGTTCGACGGTGTGTTTTACACAAATGCGCAATATTCCTTTTCATTGATAGAAAATGATACACAAATATAAAGGAAATGAGCAATTTTCCAATCACCCATGAATAGCCGCCGCACCAATTTCAAAATCAGACCAGCCAAAAAGCCATACGGAGTATCCCACTCCTCCCCTTCCTTAAAAGCCCCGAAAACTAATATAAATAAATCCATATCCTCCCTATAGACAAAAGATAAAAGGAAAAAATAGCAAGAGGGAGAAAAAAAAAGGTCAGTTGCAAAAATTATTTCGCGAGATCAGGGCGGCTCCGCCCCCTTGCCGCAGATTCGCGGCGAGAGGGGGAAGGCGGAGGTTTCCGAAGCGGCGGAGCCCATTCTCCGGTGAGATTTCCGGCGGCGTTTCGAAGCCGCAGGTGGCGGTTTTGTTCCTTATCTTCCTCTCCCCCCTCTGGCTCATCTGTATCTCAGTATCCGTCGCATTTCTGGCGTATTGATTCGGCGCTGTTTGGTTGTAGATAGACGGAAGGCACGATCTTGCGGCTGTCCTCCGGCAAATTCTTACCGGGTTATATCTGAGGATTGAAGGTCGCGCGAGGCTAGGCATTTCCACCGCGTTTCTTGTGCAGATTTCGTCGATTTCTTGGCGCCGCTGCCGAGAATCCAGTGTTGAACAGGTTGCGGTGGACGAAAGGTAGGATCTAGACCACCCAAAGTTTGTCTGAATTTGGTGGGGTTCTTGCGGATTTGGGGGTCTGGAAGCATGGTGATCTAGGGTTAGGGTTTTGATTGCTCATCTGTGGTTTGCTTGTGTCTGTGAAAGGCAAAGAGGCGATGGACTACTACAACATCCTCAAGGTGAACCGGAATGCCACATTGGAGGACCTCAAGAAGTCGTACCGGCGGCTCGCTAGGACGTGGCACCCCGACAAGAATCCGACTGGTGGCGCCGAGGCTGAGGCCAGGTTCAAGCAGATAACTGAGGCCTACGAGGCAAGTGAATTATGCGCATTTATTTTCCATGCAACGTCGGTTGCGGGGTACGTGTGTTTGATTCGGTGCCGGTTCGAAATAGAATGATAGCTATTCCTGTGGGTAGCTTCTAATGTTAATGTTACGATTTATCTTTTCTTGTTTTACGCATATAAAAAAGGTTGCTCGGTTAGTGTGTTCAGTTGTATATCATGGTTATGAAGATTGACCATTTAGCTGTGGCACACCATACCACCAGCATCTCCATTTCAAGCTAGTCATGCTAAAGAAGCTTTTTAGCTTAAATTTGTAGTTTTACCTGGATCTCCAAGTTGTGCTATGTGCCCCATTTGGAAATTAGAATGTTCAATCTACTTGAATTTACAAGCAGCAATATATGGTTCATGTTTTTCTTCTTTGCAGTTTAGTACTTGTTGGGCATGTACTGCTTTTGTGTAGTATTTCGTTGTGCAAAATGAGATCATTGTTTCATTTATCCTTTCTAGCAGTTTAAAATTGGATGAAAAAAGTCAATTTGACAATGTGAACCCCTGGTCAGGTTATATTGAGCTCTGCAATTTTGTATCCTGTTCCATAAGTAGCTATACTCTTCTCCATCTCAGAAGTCAAAAGTCATAACCGTTAACTAGTTTTACTCAAATTTAACCGTTAACTGATTAAATATCTGAAAATGCATTTGCAGTATGTTGAAAAATATTTTTGCTTAGGCTATCTGCAACTTCCGCATTTAGTATGGTGATGCCCAATTGCCGATATAGTAATACACTATTTTTGTTCTCGAGAAAACACAAAGCTTCAGTATCGGTGCATTGATAGAAAGAGAAAGTTACAACTGTACAAGCATAAGACTAGGCCGAAACATCCACGCACTCAAGACAAGAGTACGACCAACAATTGCTAGACAAATTTACAACGGACACTACCAAACAAACCCTGGCCTAGATGCCATCCACACAAACACACATGACACAATCCAGCCACAAGAAGCGAGAATCCAATTCTGAAAAGGGGGCAAAGTTGGGCCGCTCTGCCAGTCTCCCACCGCCACTGGTGCCGAGGCCTCGGAACCGCCAGACACTACACATGTCCTGAACGTTCCGCCACCACAGCCTACACTAGATGTGTGCAAGATTAGGTCACTTCAGTTTTCATTGTTTAAATGCAATTGCAAACAAAAGCTACTAAACTGACGCTGCTTTCCTTCTCTGGTAACCATCACTTGAATATGACTTCATTGCCTCACAAGACTTTCAGAGTTTTACTGCACTGCACTTGCTTAGTTTTAGTCTGGCACTTGACAACATACATGGTTGCAGGGCTTGTAGTATGTGACGTACTGTACTTTCTTCTAGGAAAGCATCAGTTATACAATGCACACTTCATGACTTAAATATGTAGTTCAGGAGTTGTTTTACTTATTTGCTCTTTGCTCAGCAAATTTGTCTGAATTTTGGCAGGTACTAAGTGATCCAGAAAAGCGTGCAATTTATGACCAATATGGTGAAGAAGGTTTGAAGGGTATGCCTCCACCTGGTTCGCAAAGCCGGACCGCCACAGCTTCTGGCTCAAGTGGGCCAAGTAATTTCCGTTACAATCCTAGTGATCCAGATGATATCTTTAATGAGTTCATGGCGAGCAACAAGCCATACACCTTTGATCAAGACCGAAGGCGCTTTCAACCAGCACACCGGACCTCAGCAGTGAATGGTCGAAGTGAAGCTTCTTCCAGTTCTCAGAAGGAGCCTGGTACCAGTACAAGCCATCTGGAAAAGCCACCGCCTGTGGAGAAGACATTACTTTGCACTCTTGAAGAGCTGTATAATGGAACAAAAAGGAAGATGAAGATCACTAGGAATGTCGCAAAATCAGATAGGTATGTGTCTACTTTTCTCATATATACATGCATGTTTCGTTGGGCTTCTGTTTAATGTGGGAACATTAAGCTTGAATATGAGCCTCTACTGACATGATGTTTGAAATTAAAGTTCCAAAATGTTGGTCTGTATTCTCTACTGCGTTCTCATTGCATATTGCCAAGTCCATTTTTTGCAAGTAATTTTTTGTAGTGTGGATTTGAACTACTCATCAAAAGCTTAACTTGAATTCATGTGTGTTATCCGAATTTAATATCTTTGCTCAACATCTTCTTTTGCTTATTTTAGCATGTTTTACCTGGAGTTGTGAATATAGAGCACCTTTTCATAGTTTACTCTTTCTTGTTGCATTTTTTTTTCTGGATTTAGCAACCTTACAATTTACCATCCTTTTATATCTAGTTAAATCCTCTGATAAATCCAAAGTGGAATTGTTGGAAGTTAAATAAAGGATTTTGGTAGCAAGGGCATGGCTACTGTTCTAAAAAGCACGGACACGGGGACGGAAAGACGGGGATACGCATACGGGGATACGGGATACGGCATTTTTCAAAAACAGCCATTCGGGGATACGGCGAGTATATATAAAATAAAATAAAAATATGCCATATAATATACAATTAAGACAGAAAATTAATGAGAAAGAGATCATAATAGAGGGTAATGCCCCATTTGGTGTCTCTTTTATCAAGTGATGATTGATTGGTCCTCATCCCCCCATGTCATGTTGTCATTGCAAGCTGCATCTATCTTGCAAAACACATCAAACACAGACAGTACAGAAGATTAGAAGACAAGACATAATTGGAAGACAATGCAAGCATGAGCAGCAGCAGCACAAGCATGAGCAGCAGCACCACCAGCATAAGCGGCAGCACAAGCAAGCATCAAGCCAGCAAGCAACATCCAGCAGCACAAGCAAATCTGAAGGATAAAAGAGGAAGAGGTCGAGGAAAGGGGAGAGGGGAGAGGCTGCTTGGTTACCTGCGAGGCTGGGGGTAGCACCAGCTATCGCCGGTCGAATCCAGGCGTCGGCGACGAGTCAAGGCGGAGGCGGCTTCGATCCAGGAGGCTGGCGGCGCGGGGAGGCTGGGAGGGAGCACCTCGTCCTTGAGACGAGAGCGTGCGGGAGTTCCTGCAAATAGGTTAGGTATACTGGGTTGGGCCGAGGCTGTTTTGGGCCAGGCCTTGTCCCAAACGTATCCCGCACGTGTCCCAAACGTATCCCTGTGTTTTTTTCCTTTTTTAAAATCGAAATTCGGGGGATACTGCAAAGTTCGCGTATCCCGGCGTATCCTGGCGTATCCCCGTATCCTGCCGTATCAGAACGGCAGTTCGGCACTTCCAGCCGTGTCCATGCTTTGTAGCTACTGTTTGCCTGAATTCTGGATGTTGTTTACATTGATAAGCCAGGTGGTTGATAAATGCACACGTGCTTTGCATAACTGATGTTAAAATCATTTTGAATATGAGCCAGGTGGCTGATAACCAGTCTGTTACCTTTTATTTATCTACCCTTGTACTCCAATTGAGTGAAATTCTTCCTCTTTAGTTTTGTTGGCTTGAGATGTTGTGTTCAGTATCTTGCGCATCTGATTGTCCCTCTTCATGTCATCTTCTGTAGAAAGGTAGAAGTTGAGACAGAGATCTTGCAGGTCGAGGTGTTGCCAGGCTGGAAAAAGGGAACAAAGATGACATTTCCCAACAAAGGCGACACGCTGCACGGCTATTTACCGCAGGACCTGACCTTCGTCATCGACATGAAGCCCCATGACACCTACACTCTGGAAGGGAACAACCTCCTGGTAAGCCAGGAGATCCCCCTGGTGGACGCTCTTGCCGGGACAACCATAAACCTCAGGACCCTTGACGGCAGGAGCCTTCCCGTCAGGGTGGAGGAAGTGGTGCGCCCTGGGCAGGAGATTGTGATCGAGAACGAAGGGTGGCCGATCAGGAAGGAGCCTGGGAAGAAGGGGAGCCTGAGGATCAGGTTCGACGTGGCCTTCCCGGCGAGGCTATCCTCGTCGCAGCGAGCTGCCATCAGGCGGATCATGGGGAGCTAACCAGGGAAAAGAAGGGCGCGACAGTGGATCGATTCATACAGAAACAAGAAGAGAAGGACATACCCAGTGCATAGAAGCTCCCACACAAGGTGGGGTCTGGGGAGGGATTATAGGAACCTAGTCTTACCCCTGCAAAGTGCAATGCAGAGAGGCTGGTTCGAACCCAGGACCTCTTGGCACAAGTGGGGAGGACTTCACCACTGCGCCAGGCCTGCCCTCACAGAAACAAGAAGAGAAAGAAAAAAAAAACTAGCTAGCCTGAGGACAGTTGGGATTGGTTTGGGTTAGTTCATGTTCATCTGTTGTTCATAGATCAGTAGCGGTGCAGCACTAATTCCGTGTGTTTAGCCCTGTTCTTCGCAAGTGACGTTGTTGTTTTGGCGACTTTTGTTGGCCATTAGCAGTTGGATGCTTTTAGTTCTGATCATATCAAACGGGTGTTTACCCCCCTTGACTTTTGTTGATAATTAGCGCTTTTCTTAAGATGGATCATCATGTGATGGCTTAGCATTTAGGACACAGATTTAACAGTTATAACCTGCTGCCTAATGGTCACTGTTCAACGGTTATTGTTCGTCTTCGTTTTGCCAGAGAGGAATAGATGCATACAGTTTATTCACTCCGTTCAGATGCTGTATATGCAGTGCCTTAGGCTAACACTCAACGGTACTAATACTTCTTACAGTCATACAGTTTATTCACTCCGTTCAGATGCTGTATATGCAGTGCCTTAGGCTAACACTCGACGGTACTAATACTTCTTACCGACTGTCTATAAACATAAACTCAGAAATCTAATCCTCCTTCATATGGAACAGCTAGGAACTACTTATACTAGAAGCACCTACTAATTAGGTGTGAAAACAACTCAAAATGAAAGGTAAATTAGTGAGCTTCAGTCCTTCATATGGAACAGCTGGGGAGTACTTATACTAAAAGCACCTACTAGTTAGATATAAAAACAACTTAAAATGAAGGGTAATTAGTGAGCTTCAAGCTGTAGCAGGAGCAAACTTGTTGAGGAACTTGCACAATTTTTGACTCAAAACCTCAAATGATGCATCTTTTTTTTGAATGAAAGATGACTTCAAACACCATATTATCCAACCATTAAAACATGTTAGACCCTTCTAGAATTAATTAGGTTTAGGTGTGAAGTTGTAGCTAGAAATCAAATGGGTCATTTCTCCTAAAATAGGCACTGAAAACTTCTCAATTAAGATAATGATTTTGCCCATGTCTTTCTTTGGCTGCTCTAATGGTTTAACATTTGTGCTAGCATGAACCTTACTCTTTGATGTATTGGTCATGATTTGGCCCACATCAATGAGTGTGGATGAGGAGGGAAAGAAAGGTCGTTGTACCACCGACGGGCAGACCAGTGGGAGGACAAGGGCGAGTGTGGCGCGCGTTCCCGTCGAGTAAACCTGACCCAAAATTAGCCCGGAAATGGATCGCGGCGGACAGAAAAACGAACACCCACCAGTTCTGCGCCGGCGTGTTGGGCCGTGTTTTTTTGTCCGCTTCTACCCAAACAGATGCAGTCGAACGAAATGGGTCGCCACATTGAAGTTGGCGTTAGAGCATGTTCAATAGGTCCCTTAAAAACCTCCCTCGAAAATTGTTATACGAGATGTATATATACTTTTAGATGGTTATATGAAGATGTTGATGTAATTTATGGAGATTTGTATGTGAGCATCTTCAACAAGTTCCTTTAAAAACTCTCTATATAATAGTTTATTGTTGAGGAACGGCGAAACAACAGATACGATAGTGGCGTGCTGATGTGACATTTTTAGAGAAGGTTTACGGGAAGAGCTAACTTCCCCTAGATGGAGAGAATGTTAGGCTGATTATATAGGGTCCCCCAAAAATTACATTTACAGAACTAGTTGGACAATTTTTTTATCCAACTCCACCTAAATCAGTTTTTTATATAGAAAGTGGTTTTGTCAAAGATGGTTTTAAATGATTCAAGAAATAGCGTGTACAATCTTTAGATAAAAGCATCTCTAGCGGTCTACCCATTTTTTTTTGAACAACAAAAGGCGCACTAGGCGCCAAACTTTCTTATTTCAGCTCAGAAACACCGTACAGCATGAATTACAAAGCCCTGAAATTGAAAAGTAGAGAGAAGAGAAACTACAGGGCAAGTCATATTCCGATGAGCTGAAGCGAAACAACATATATCAGGTTCTACCACTGATGTTAGAACCTGGTGAGCTACATTATGTGCAATACCATTGATCTCCCTAGAAATGTGAAACACCCGGGACTGAAGATCTGAGGAGTAGCAGAAGAAGTCAGCCAGAATTTTCCTTATAGTCCAAGGAGTAGTAGATTCCTTAATCTTTCTGCTAGCCGCCCATGACGCCAAAGACAGATTGTCAGTGAGGAAAGTGGGCTGAGAAATGCATAGCTGTTTGGCCACTCTAGCCGTCAAAAGAAGCGCCAAAGCTTCAGATCTTCTTTGATATATTTGATATTCTCTCCTTTCCAATATGTTAGGTGTATTAGGAATTACATGCAATTCCATAATATAAAGCGCACAATTACGACCTCTGCTGACGACCGCTAGTTTTCACGAAATAAAAAAAAAACCTCAACGACCCTCTCGTGCGGTTAGCTACCATGAGCACCCACTCGTCTCTCTCTCCTTCAACATTTTCTGCCCACGAATCCACCTCACTTGCCTCTCCCGTCTAATTTTCTCTTATGTGAAGAACGCTCAGCACACCATTTCTACTTCCGATCTTCCTCATCTTGTACAGATCCATGGCCAGCCCCCTCCACGCCGTTGGTGTTAGCGACGAGGGTTCTAGTGACGACGGAGTTGCTACCCATCTTGCCGCCAACGATGGCATTGCCGTGCAACTTGCCGCCTGCAAGGCCGGTCTCGTGCGCGGTCGTCCCAGTACAATGGGAACCGGCAACAAGAAGAGAGAAGAAGTTCAGAATATATATTTTGTCTCTTCTCCGTTTTTGATTACCTAAATCTCGTTTCTTATAAAATCAGCCTAACTTTCTTCCAATTTTAGACAGAGGGAGTAGCTGCCGATTTGACATTATGCCGGAAGAAGAGAGAGCAAGTAAATACTCCCTCGGTTCCTATATAGGGTGTATAGTTTTTGGCATGGAAATTAAAGAATACATATGGAGGAAAAATTTCACAAGTTTTACGTGAGATTACACCTAACTAATTGGCATGAGAAAATAGAGGAGGTTGCCTAATATAAACAAATATAATCAAATCCTTAAAAAAATCCAAACGAGTGGTGCAACGCAATATACCTTATATTTCGGGTTTTTTCTTAAAAATCTATACACCTTATATCAAGGAAGGGAGGGAGTACTATTTTTTATCCTAAATTACTTGGCATAGAAATGGATGTATGGAGAGAATAAAATATTTGCTGGAGGGTAAAAAAGAAATGGTGATTTGGGGAAAGAAGGAACAAAAATCTTCATGTCAAGAGAAGAAAAAGATCTCATCGGTCTCCCTACGCCACACGTCTTCGTCACCGGTGCCGTAGCCTCACGGGACTCTTCTTCCTCCCTTCCCATCTGACCCGGCCTCCCCGACTATAAAACCCGCGCTCTCCTCTCCTCTCCGCAAATCCAACCCAGCCCCCTCCGATCCCCACCGAAGAATCTCCGACAGATCGAAGCCAAGGCTCTCTCGTCCTCCTCCCCAAGGTACGCGAGTTTCCGATCGATCCGCCTCTCGATTTCTCTTCTGTTAACCCGTCGTTTGGAGTAGATCTGCGCGCTGGCTGAGGCGCTATTGCTTGTTGATCGCTTGCTGTCGATTCGATTATCGAGTAGATCCGCCGATTGGTGTCGATTTGGGCCACCCGATCTAGGCAGGCGTGTGTGGCTGGTTGATTCCGCTCGTTTGGCTGCAAAAGTATGCGTGTCGTAGTCCTATGCATCGATTTTGTTGGCTCGCTTCATCTAAGTGTGCGTAGCTGGTTGATTCCGTTAGGTTCCATATTCTGAATTTATTTTTGCCTAACTTATTCATGGTTCACCCTTGTAGTTGCCTGTCGGTTCTAGTCTGAAATTCGTGTTATTATTGTTGTTCTTCAGATTGTTGTTGAGCATAGATTTGCTAGGAGTTAGACTATATGTATAGCCTTCTCAACAGGCCAAAGATTGTGCTTATAGATTTGTTAAGTTTTGCTAGGTTTTGCTAGTCTTATCTGTTACGTTTTTGCTAGATTTTGCTGAATAGGTTGGTTCTGAACGATTGTTGCCAAGTCTATAAGCTGGGTTCTTTTAGGCTCTTGATTCTGTATTTGTTTACTAGCTTTCTCATGGTGCAGCCTCACAGTTGCCTTGGTTTTACAATGAAATTTATGATATTATTACTGTTGCACTCGAGTATATAGCCTTCTCACCAGGTTTAAGATTGTGCTGATAGATTAGGATTTTTACTATATTCATACGGAGATCTCGTTCATCTGTAGCTTGGATTTCATCTCTCTGTACCTGTATGTTTATGCCCTGCATGTTCCCTTAAAACTGCTCCTTACTCTGGGTTTACTTTGTATTTACAGATGCAGATCTTTGTGAAGACCCTCACCGGCAAGACCATCACCCTTGAGGTCGAGTCATCGGACACCATCGACAACGTCAAGGCGAAGATCCAGGACAAGGAGGGCATCCCCCCGGACCAGCAGCGCCTCATCTTTGCTGGCAAGCAGCTCGAGGATGGTCGTACCCTTGCTGACTACAACATCCAGAAGGAGTCCACCCTCCACCTGGTGCTCCGCCTTCGCGGTGGTATGCAGATCTTCGTGAAGACCCTGACGGGCAAGACCATCACGCTTGAGGTGGAGTCCTCGGACACCATCGACAATGTCAAGGCCA